TTTAGGGAAAGGGGGAAAGGGAGTCTAGTACTGGTGTAACTCTCCAGGAACGATGGTTAGGAAACTACCCGCCTATATGACTGAAATACTGTTGGGAAAAGGCGTAAAATGAAACAAACAAACAAGCACATCCATGCACTGTTTATTAGTATTCAGTCACTACATATTTTGAAGTCTTCCTGAAAATGATGAATAGTTTTGCCCAGATTGAAATATGGACAGGTCCATTTAAGATATTTAGCAGATTAAGGTTTAAGGTAAAATAAAACATCACTATTAACCTATAAACATGTACCTGTATATGATCTCTATACTGCTTCTGTGCCTCGTATTCTTTCTTCTGATTTTTCATTCTTTCTTCTTTAGTTTTATCAAATTGATCATAATTTCCTTTATAAGTGTCCAGTCTTTTATCATGTAAATGCACAATTTCTGTACAAACTGAATTTAAGAAGGAACGGTCGTGAGATACCACTAATATCGTTGTCGGCCAAGTCTGAAAGAAAAAGTATATTTTGCCGTAAATATTAATCTCCAAGAAAGAATAATCAAGAAGTATTATAGAGTTTTGAAGCAATTTGTGAGTTTGTTAATGTTTTTTGTTTTGGCTTATCATTTTTGATATAGTATGTACAAAATTCACCCTAAAACACAAACTAGAAATGTGTCGTCACGCCACGGATGCCCTTGTATGCAGCCAAAATTTCAGATGTTATAATATTTAGTTCCAAATTGTTTGCGCAAACTATTTTTTTTGTTTTAAGTTCAAAGCCCTTAAAGCTATTCAATGTTAACACAAACCATTTTTATAAAAGTTCAAGGCACTGAAACTATTCAGTATTTACCTTTTGTAAATTGCATATTGCATATTTGTAGCCAAAATAATGACTACATACACTTCCACAAAAGTATGAGTGAAGAAACTGAAAATTCAAAATTTTTCCAACATTCTAGATAGATAACTTTGTCCAAAATCATTGAACCATGGCCAAATCTAAACTTGAACTGCTTATTCCTAAAATGTATCTAAATGTCAAATTTGAGTTGAATGTGTAAAACCATTGGGAAGATAATGAACGAAAACTAAAAATTTCTGATTTTTTTCAAAGTTCAAGATGGATCACTCTATCAGCTATCATCAAACCATGACCAAATTCGAACTTTACCAGTGTATTTTTCTGACATGTCCATATTTTAAATTTGAGTTGAACATGTACAACTGTTAGGGATAATGAACGGAAACTGAAAATTTCCCTTTTTTCAAAGTAAAAGGGCCATTACTCTGTCAAAAATCATCAAACCATGACCAAATTCGAACTAGACCTGCACATTCCTTTAACGTATACATATGTCAAATTTGAGATGAATGTGTACAACTGTTGGGGAGATAATGACCCAAAACTGAAAATTTCATATTATTTTCAGACTGAATGAGACATAACTCTGCCCAAAATCATCAAACCATGACCAAATTTGAACTTGACCTGCTCATTCTATTGACGTATCCATTTGTCAAATTTGAGTTGAATGTGTAATACCGTTGGGGAGATTATGAATGGAAACTGAAAATTTCATATTATTTTCAAAGTGAAAGGGGCATAACTCTGCCAAAAATCATCGAACCATGTCCAAATTCGAAATGGACCTGCGCATACCTTTGACGTATCCATATGTCAAACTTCAGTTGAATGTGTACAACTGTTGGGGAGATAATGAACAGAAACTTAAATTTTTATCAAAGGGCATAACTCTGCCAAAAATCATTGGACCATGGCCAAATTGGAACTTGACCTGTATGTTCTCATGATACATCCAAATGTGAAATTTGATTTGAACGTGTGCAACCGTTACTACGATAATAAATGGAAACTGATGATGACGGAATGACAGAAGGACGGAACAGGGTAACACCATATGCCCCAGGATTTTATGGCGGGGGCATAAAAATTACATTGTATACCAAAATAAGTTTGGTCACACTGTGGATGACATACTATGGGTAATTTGAATTTTATCACACAGATAAAATCCAGTTTCTCACTGGTTAGCATAAAACTAGAAATGTGTCCATAGGACACGGTGCCCCCACACTCCACTGTTGTGAAAATTGAAAACTAAACATCTTCTACTAAGTAAAGGGCAAAATTTTTACAAATACTGAATAAATCTACAAGCAAACCCCAAGGTGCATAAGTACACATGCTGAGCAACATTCTTGTTAATTTTCAGGCCTACATGTCAAAACTTTAAAGCTTTGCATCAACAAGTTGAAAAATAGCAAATTTATACTAACTCAAGAGTGTAAAGCCACACGAAAATACCCCAGTGCACAACTACACATACTGATCAACATTTCTGTAAAGTTTCATGGCCCTAGGTCAAATATTTGTTTAGCTACGCTTGACACAAGTTGAAAATTGCAAATTTTTACTAAGTCAAGTGCAATAACTCGAACAAAACATATTAAATCCACAAGCGAACCAATAGGTGCACAACTTCACATGCTGATCAACATATCTGTACAGTTTCTTGACTCTATGTCAAACACTTTTTGAGTTACATGTGACATAAGTTGAAAATTGTAAATTTTCACTAAGTCAAGGGCAATTACTTTAAAAATACTAAATATACCCACAAAAATACCCAGGTGCACAACTACACATGCTGATCAACATTCCTGTAAAGTTTCATGACCTTAGGTCAAATACTTTTTGAGGTATGTGCCACACAAAATGAGAATGGACGGACGGAAGGACAACGCCAAAACAATATCTAACTTCCAATTTCATCGGCGGGGCATAACAACAAAGGACTAATATATACATGTATATGTACACCACTTGCTTTGCCGGTGAAGATAAAGTTAGTTATTTTTTATCAGTTAGATATATTCTTCCGTGTTATATTGATTTAAATAGCATAATGTTAAACCAGCCCTATGTAAACACTTTATATACCTCAAAGTTTAACAATTTAGTATTGAAGGATAATGTTTCACCAGATAAAGTTACACTGTGTGCAAAGAGGTATAAGGGCACCTTTGATAAGTTAAACCCAAAGTAGGTCAAATCATTTAGATATTATTTAGCAATAGGAGAGGATTTATATCAATGAAAAAAAATATTATGTAGAAATTGATATTTTTCCAGGAGTACAATGTAGAAGATACTTAAGGCTTTCAGTTATCTTAATTATAGAGTACATCAATGTTTAAATTTAAAATAACTGTGAAAGAAATAGAGACAATTTTATCGATTTTACAATGTAAATAGATCAACTAACAAACGTAGTCGGGAAAAAGACAAAATGGCTACAGGTCAACAAATTGATACGGATATTCTTTCGGATGAAATATTTGACGTATTATGTTCAATGTGTAGAAATGAAGGCAGGAACACTGAAGGTGAAAAATACTGTGTAGATTGTCACGATTATTTCTGTGTTAGTTGTGTCAAAGTTCACAGTAAAGTGCCATTATGTGCTGGTCACAAGGTATTGGATAAATCTCAAGTTAAGTCAGGAACCAGTAAAGCTATGCCGAGGGCACCAGCAGAGAGATGTGACAGACATAGTCATAAACACATTAATTGATATGTATGTCGTAGGGTTCCTCTTTCCTAATAAAGGAGGGGCTGTTTCGGCCTGTAATGGCACGGAAACAAATGAACAATTTACTAAGGATGCAAGAAGACGCAAACACAGCTACTTCGTGGCGCAAACCAATGGAAGTGTATTCAATGTGCAAAATACAAAATGCAACACGCATGTCATTTCAATAATTGAATGAATACATTACGAGTAATAAATAACAACCAAAATTACCTGTAATGGCACGGAAACAAATGAACAATTTACTAAGGATGCAAGAAGACGCAAACACAGCTACTTCGTGGCGCAAACCAATGGAAGTGTATTCAATGTGCGCATGCGTGACTTCCAATCCGGGTGAGTAAATGTTAGGAGGCCCGTCCAGAAGAAATTAGTTGTTATGCATTATATAGAATGACATTAAGTGTTACATGTTGCAATGAATGAAAAGGATGAATGAAAATGAGAAAAATATGGGGAATGAATAGGACAAATATATAGGACATATATGATATAACAAAATGACAAACGTACAGGGAATATATAACGACACAATATATAAGACATACATACAAACAATAAATTATACATGTCGGTATATTACCCTCGTGACATACTTCCCCACTTCGGGAAATGTCGTCCCGACATTTAAATAATTTATGACATTACCGTTAAGTAAAGCTGAAGAAATAACAGAAGTGCTTTAAAATTTACAATCCAAATTTACTATGAAATGAAATTTTACTCAATATGTAATAAAGGCACTTCAAATTCTTTTTAAGTACATAGGGGCTCTTGCTGAACTGTTGGGCATCAAACAAAGCTGCCCGATGACTGTACACATGATTAAAACATATCTTTAATCAAAATTGAGGATAATATAATACTGTAAAGTATCTATATTTGAATTATAGGTGTGCACTCCAATATAATTCAAATAAACACATCTATATGTAATAGATAAAAGAGTACATTAGTACCCAATAGTACATCATTAGTACATTTGTACTAAAATGTTTCTTTCCAAATTGTTCAACTTATGAACAAAACTTAAAGGGGAACAAAGTAAATAAAATGTTGGATAATAAATATTTATAATATTTGCTTTATTTAAGATTTCTACAAAATATAGAAAATTCAATTGCGATAAAATCAAACGTATGTTTTACATTAAAACAAAATTGTCAAATTCATGAATATGTCACAACTGATATACTATAAAAGTATTAAGGTGCATCAAATGTCAGCCATATTGTTTTGTTGAAAATTTTAGGTCAAAAATTCAAACTTTAAACTGAAGTACTATGAGGTACATTTGAAAAGGAAAGTGTTGAGTCATTAATCCTTTACCTATAAAGAAGCTGTTACATTGCCTAAAAAGAAAAAAGAAAATTGAAATAAAAGCAAAAGCCTTACCTGAATCAGTTTGCAGCACATGTAACTTGTATGTCAAAATAAAGTTCCTTCCAATGATAAATATGTGATATGATGAATGAAAACTTTTAAAGTAACATCTATTTTAGTGACACTGAATCTCCATTACCTGAAAAAATTATTTATCAATTGAAAATTTATATTCCAATAAGGCCAGTAAACACAGCATTATCTAAGTCCAATGTTTACATAGCATGTACACAAAAGTAGTGCAAGGTTAAGTATGGTGTACTATTATGGACATGGCTTACTGATAAAAAAATTTACTGCAATAATCCATAAGATAAGCAGGATAATATTTCTTCTTGTAATAATTCATTAAAATGAATTGAAACATGACCTTCTTGCAAAATTAATTAAACATAAAAAGCATAAATTCAGAAACTGTAAATTATTATATAGGATTAATTACATTGAAAGCTGTTGTAATATGATGTTAATATTTAAAAGATATTATGCATAATGTTATTTAAATATTTTTTAAAATCAATTTTTAAATATAAAAACATACAGTACATGGTATAATGTAAATTGGAAGAGAAATAAAGTATACCATTACAAATCTATGAAAGTTAAGGTGCCTTCATTATAGTCTTTGATCAAAGAATCTACTTCATATGACGCGTCTTCGCCTTCATATAGCACCTCATATACTGCATCAGGATTTCCGTCTTTTCCAGAAGAAACAGAAAGCACGGTGCCTTTGTACCAATTCAGAGAGCCGTCTGATTCTGTCCACTGGTGGTTGATTCTCCTCCCAAGGAATTTTAATTTTCTCAAACGTGTTGATCTGCAAATTTGTATAAAAAATATTAATTATCCCTTTCAAATACATGTTGAAGGCACTTAAAATCTGAAATAAATATTTATAATTTTGGCCATTTTTAAACTTAAAATAAAGTTGCAAGTTAAATTTGCTCATTTATTTGGATGTTATGCAAAATTAATGTTTAAAAATAGTGAACAAAAGTTAATTTGAGAACAATTTACAGTTTGTTATAGTTTATAAAGGCAATAATATAAGTTTATAACCATCATGATAGGAAAGGATTGCATGTAATGCACAATATTTTGTCAACATTTGTGTTACTGTACACAGTGAAAAAGTGCACGAACATAAATTAATATAACAGCTTCATTCAAAAATTATAAAATTCAAATAAGGGTATATTGAAAATTCTAAACATCATTAAAAATTTAAAAATACTTCTTTATACATGTATACAGTGCAATCTAAACATTAATACTGCTAGATACCAACTGAAAAAGTTCATTTCAATATTGTAAGAAACAAAATTACCTGTTACCTAAGGCCACCTGCCTTTAAAGAACACTTTCATGTTTTCTCCATATTGGTATTTCCTGAACAAATTTACAGCTGTTAAAAGAGTGCACATTGGTAATATTTCCTATTTAACAGAATTAATTCTTTAAAGATCTTAACTATTTATAGTTATATATACATTAAAATAAATCACCTTTTACTTGATTGTGTTGGTGTTGGTATTAATGGGGTTGCAATGTAAATATCTTTGTCTGTCTTAATCTGAGTATGCAAGTCTTTTTGGTCCAATTTGTCACCTTCACTTCTCTTAGAGGTTTTTTTCTCTGATCTCTTGCAAGACGTACCACAAAACTGTAAAATATAAAAATGAAGGATTAGGCAAAAGATACAGGTTCAATTAATATATATTTATTATTATAAATGGTAAATTATTTCATAGGATGATATATATTTAAGCACATGTAAATATGGTGAAAGAAACCAAAACATTAATAGTATAAGAAATTAGTTTACATTTATTGGGAACATACCCATGGCAATTCAGGTTTTCTTATTCCAGATAGAGTACCATGTCTTGGAACTGCTAATTCAGGTAGCATGTGGGTGAAATAGAAAGCCTTTAATTTGGGAATCATAACTTTTTTCCATAATTCTGTATCACAGTATATGCGTTGAATAAACATATCATGTGGATTTATTCTTCTAATTATTAGATCACACCATTTGTAATTCATAATATTCATCTGACCTTGTATTTGGTAAAAATATTTATGATTTTTTTTCAGTTGAATAATGCCATTTTGCACTGACAAACAAAACGCTTTATCATTTTCTGCAGATTCTTTGATCATTGTTTTTCTGTTTTGTAATAAAGTCTTAATTTCAATGAGACCTTCAGGACCTTTGGATCCAACCACTACACCATCGCTTGAGGCTGCTAAAAAAGGATTATCTTTGTCAACAATTAAACCAGGAATATCAATTTTGTATTTAATATTTTCATCTTTTTCTTTCAAATTAATGTATTCCATTCTTGCATTATCCTCTTCACTTAAGCCTTTCAAAGTATACATGTTACCTTTAAAATTGGAATAGAGAAGCCTTTTCACTAAATTGGGACTGTTATTATTTTGCGATCTTGATATCACTTCTCCAAATACGGAACTTGTGAGTCTTTTCTTTCTTTCAGCAAACCAGTTAAGGTTACTTGATTGACCACGTGTATGCTGTTCAATTAATTTACTATTGCATGTAGATATGCTGGATTTATAAAAGATATCACATTCCTTTTTTAATTGTGATGGACTGATATCGGCTGTATCTTGCAGCACAGTATCGCCGTATTCTTTTCTTGCTTTCTTACTGGTGCTTTCAAGAGATGATTTCATTTTCTTCAATTTCCTTTTGTTCCTGTTTATTTCACTACCTTTGGCACGTTTAGTACATCTGTAGCGTACAGACCTTTGTCTATAAGTACTAATAAAAACTCTATCTGGGCGTTTATCTGTAAGCTTATTGTAAACTTGTGGTGACCATGCTGGACCTAGCAAAGACCTTAATGCTCCACCATAACATCTTGCGTAAAATGAACCACGGAAGCATTTGTTGAACATTTTACCCCCTTCAAATTTACATTTTATACTCATCCACGACTCAGCTAAATTACTCGTAAAGTTACCAATCAGTCGGTTTGCCTTTTCCGATAGACGATTCAAGAATAGAAAAATGTCTCTTAACAACTCTTCAATATTAGAATTTTTCTTAGCTATTGTCTTACCGCCCTTTCGTAACATTTCAATTTCAGTTTCAGAATAATTTTTTACCGAATCAGTCCAGTACTCGCATTGGCTAATTATAATATCTTCTTCATCAATATTGGTATTTTCCGTTTTGTTATCATCTGATTTTGTTATGTCTGAATTATTTTCCTTATTTTTACAAAAATCTGTAGAACATAAATCATGTAAGCCAAGGACATGTCTCCCGGCATTTCTTATATCCTGTTTAAGTTTTTTAATTGCTGTCATTTTATTGGTTTCGGCACTTCGCATTACTATAGCACATCTTACACCAGAACAAATTCTTCTAATGTTATTTCTTGTCAGTTTACCTTTTCCTTTATAATGGGGCTTCTCACATATTAAGCGTTCTAAATTGGATCTAAGGCATTTAGTGGCATGGTTAGCACATTCAATTTTTTCTACATATTGCCCCCAAACGGGTACATTCTTTATTATATTTGCATAGACGGAACTGTCCCCATCAGCTATTACATGCATGTATCTTACACCATGTTGTCTTTCACAATTCAAAAATCCATCTAAAATGATGTCACTTTCCATTGCCTGGGAAGATTCAGTCCAGTTTTTAAAACACTCATGCTGTACTGGTTCTTCATTTGCAGTTTCAGCACGGCTACATATATAACAAATTTTATTTCTTATACCTAGATGAAGAAGTTTCTTTGTTCTTGCACCAAAGATGACAGCAACTCCAGCCATGGCATTGTAGCTGTGTTTGTGAGTACGTTTACTCCACCCTCCATCACATATGACAGTTATTGCTGGAATACCTTGAAAATATTCGTCATTTTCCTCTGCCAATGCACGTTCTTCCTGACCTGCTTTCACAAGTTCTTCATCAAGAAGGGACTTCCACATACGCCCAATCTCTGTCTCAATTGACGAGTACTTTTTTTCTGTAATGCCTGGAACACCTATAGTTCCAAAACATTCATTGAGGGAAGAACAACCTCCTCCTGTTACCATGCTACCCCAAACTGAACGTACATTTATATCCACCATATTTGTCGAACCAAACTTCTCACTGTTTTCAAGTTCAAAGGTCTTACCACATCCTTGGCATTTACAGGTGATGATGGTATAGAAACCATTCCTTTTTTCACTTTCAAGGACAATTACATTGTCATTTGAAAGGGCTTTCATATGAGCTTCAGTACAAAGAGCGGCATGTGAAGATATTTGTAAAATGTGATCTTTCAGTTTATGCATGTTCATAACTCTATTACCTTCTAAATTATCTTTTAATGATGTTATATAAAGTCTTTCTTTTTCTTTGTCAAGCAAACATTTAAATTTTCTGGCTTTCTGAATAATTATTTTACTTAGTATATATTTCAAACCTTGTTTTTTCTGCCTAATATAGAATGGCTCCACATGTTTAAGATTCCTCAGCTTATTTTTCAACTTTTCATCTTTCATCACAATTTTCCTTTTATAATTCAAGCTATGAATTCCAGTGGCCTTATTAAACACTTGTCTTTTCCCTTTCTTATTTCTTTTATTAGCCATCCTGGTGGGGTAAAAATTACTGTTGCCACTACAATATTTCCTAAATTTCAAGCAATATGTTCATAACAAGTTATCACCACAAGTTATCCAAGAAATGAATATTTTCAAATTAATAAATACAATGACACAACAATTTAAATTAATTCCATAAATAATATATCCACATTAAATTCCATTAATTTTGAGCACATCAGTACACCATAGCGAGTTACTTTTATATGCACTTTCATTCATGTCATTTCACGCTTCATGAGTTTCACAAATATTTTTCTAATACAATATAAAGGTCAGGCTAACTTACCTCCAAAACTACATTATAATAATAAAGTTGCATAAATATTTCAAATAAATAAAATAGAATTAATAATATCGTTTTTACAGGCCATGTGAGAACCTCTTGTTTTTGTTTACATTTTGATGAATGAAAACGAAAGTTAATTATTTGTAAATGGTTTGTCATCGTACAACATGGCCGATCGGTTTGTTTATTTGTGGAATAAAGTAATTGAAGAAAGTACCAGTGTATAAATTATAATCAATACATCTGATCTTACCGTGAATAAGTTGAAATCATTTGAAAAGAAAATTTTCCGCAGCAGCGTGTCTACATCTCCGCCATGTTAGATTACTTGGTACCCGTTGTAACAAACAATAATTTTATCACGCTTACGACAGGCGGGTAACCATACGAAATGTATATCCGCCAAATTGTACAAAATTGAAAGAACTTACGCGATTGTTCATAGTTCCATGAAATATTACGTGTATTTGAAATATGTCGCTCACATATATTTTTTTTAACAAGGACGAAAATAAAGTGATAAAAGAAATGTAACTTTCATTTAGATACGCCGAAATTACCCGATCTTTCAGGTGAGGTCTACTTCTGTGTATGAATATTTTTTACTTCCTTCCGTTATGCGGTCAACAGAAAGCCGACAAAATGTAAATAAATACAAGAAAGATATTACTATGTCAGGTATAAAGTAATCGAATTGAAATTCTGTGTATTAAGGTTTGTTCTATGAATATTTTTGTTCATGGGAATATTATTCTGTTTTAATTTATTTTACTAAGCGAAGCATAAACATGATATCCGTTGAGGAAAAACGACGTAAAAACAGAAGGATTTGATAAAATGGCGGGTCAAAAATGTATGCCGAAGCACGTGAAAAGTTCTTGATACGTAAAGGAGGTTATTTAACAAAACTTTATCATTCGGGTGCACTGCATTGATATATTGACTAAATGTTTATGAAAATATTTTAATTTAATTCCTAGTCTTTAAACAGAATTTTGACATAGCAGTATGTGGGTAATTTTCAGTTTCAGAATTGTGCAACAATGTCATATTTTGATTTTGGAATCAATAAGTCACTATAATGGTGATATATCCCTATATATTTATTAACTATTAACTTTTTTTTATAATAACTCTTCTCTATTTTGTAATTCAGCAACTGCCATGTAATGTTGAGGAGTAGCAAATTCACAAGTTTGATGTACCTTAAGAATCAGTTGAATTGCCATGAACTATTCCTCATCCATGCAGGCTGGGCCCTGTTTCTTCTTTGTCTCCTAAATGGTTCATCAGACTGACATGGCAGCTGCTTTTGCTTATCAGTACTATTCTGGTTCGACAACTTCCCATCAGCTTTTGATTGATTATTCCGACGTGCTGGTATAATATATTTACCTGATGAGTCTGAAATAGAAGAATCAACATTTTGTTGAACAGAATTATCAGTATTAGGGATGGTTGGTGTAAAAGTATCAGGATGATTATTAGGACATAGACCAGGAGATGTACCTGAATCACTCTTATGATCAACTGAGATATCAGGGTCACAAGCTTTACGCTTTGATATCGGAATACCTGTCAATGGGAGTAAGAGATTCCTGTGAAGGAGTCTATGTTTTCCCTTACCATGCTCCCGTTTGACTTCAAATATAGGGATATCGGACGTAGGTTGACTGACCACCACATAAACATTTTTCTCCCATCTATCAGCCAACTTTGCTTTACCCCTTATTCCAACATTCCGAACAAGAACCCAATCTCCAGTTTCAACCTTGGCTTCCCTGACCCGCAGATCATACAATCTCTTATGTCTTTGACCTTATTTACGAGTTTCACGACTAGCTGCCTTATAAGCAAAGTTAAGTCTGCTACGTAATCCAGATACATATGTGGACTTATCTGTTGGCTTAGTACGATTAGGTTCGATACCTAAAAATGCATCGATTGCTAGCCGAGGATGACGTCCAAACATTAAAAAATGGGGTGTATAACCTGTGCTTGAATGTGGCGTTGAGTTATACGCATGAACAAGTGCAGGGACATGAGCTCTCCAATTCGACTTTTTGTCTTCTTCTAGAGTGCCAAGCATGTTCATCAACGTTTCGTTAAAACGTTCAGGCATTCCGTTCCCTTGCGGGTGATACGGGGTAGTTCTAGTCTTTTCTATATGTGCAATATTACACAGTTCAAGAATAACCTCACTTTCAAAATTTCTACCCTGGTCACTATGAAAACGACTCGGAAATCCATAATGACAAATGAAATTTTCAAATAGAAGTTTTGCAGTGGTATGAGCCGTTTGATTCTTAGCTGGTATTGCTTGTGCGAAACGAGTGAAGTGATCAGTAATTATCAAAATATTTTCAAAGCCTCCTTTTGACATTTCTAGTGACAAAAAATCCATACATACCAAATCCATAGGATAACTAGAATGAATAGGTACAAGTTTGGCAGAAGTCTTATCCAAAGTCTTTCGACAAATACAACGAGGGCAATGACGAATACGATGTTCTATAGATTGTTCCAATTGAGGCCAGAAGAATCTTGATCTGATAAGGGCAACAGTACGTGCACAGCCTTGATGACCGGCTTCATCATGAAGACCTGTAAAAACAACATCCTGAAAATGATCTGGTAACACAAGTTGAACAACAGGGTACCCATTAGATGTGCCTTTACGATACAAGACGTCATTCTGTAAATACAAAATTACTCCATTCTTTGAGATATTTTCTCACTGATTCAGGTTCAAGTGACTTCTGTCGATCCGTAAGTCTATGACCAGCTTGTAAAAGCTGTATCACACGAGCAAGTGTAGGATCACCCTTCTGTTCTTGCTTCCAATCGACAGCTTTAAAGTGAGTACCAAAGCATGTCTCATCTTTGGGATTCAAGTCCAAAACTTGCTGAGTCAAGGAAACACATTCCATGGCTGGAATCTGACCTTGACCTTCCGAATGAGCTTGAAGTAAAGCTTTAACTGCATCTGAGAAAAGAATGGTGTTTCTAGTATCAGGGTTAGGTAGTCGAGAGAGTGCATCGGCATCATTGTTGTGTTTTCCTGCCCTGTATATAATATTGATGTTATAGGTTGATAATGCGGCTAACCATCTATGACTCATGGCGTCTGATTTAGCAGTAGAGAAAACGTAGGTTAGGGGATTATTGTCAGTACGGACTGTAACAGAATTTCCATATAGATACTCATGAAATTTGTCACATATTGCCCATTTGAGTGCCAAGAAATCTAGCTTGTGTGCTGGATAGTTCAACTCACTTGGTCTTAATCCTCTGCTGGCATAAGAAACAACTCGCTCCTTCCCGTCATGGTTTTGGTAAAGAACTGCACCAAGCCCACCTGAACAAGCATCGATATTGAGAATAAACGGCTTGGTATAATCAGCATAAGCCAAAATGGGTGGAGAAGACAATTTCTGAATCAAAATATCAAATGCCTCTTGTTGTTCTTTCTCCCATTTCCATTGGTGTACAGGTTTTACATTTGACTGCCTTCTTATTAGTAGGGTGACCCACTAAAAGATATTCAGAGGTTTAAAATTTTAAAAAAATCCCCCCTTTCATAACCCCTCTATAATAAACCCCCGCAAAACCCAGAAATTTTTTAAGTTCTTTCAAAAGTTGGGAAAAGGCCATTCCCTTTAGGGCCCCTAATTTTTCAGGAAACAGTCTCCACACCCTTTGGGAAATAACAACAGTCCAAATATTTAAAAATGGGTTTCTGAAAAAAAATTTACATTTTGAAACCCTTTAAACTTTAAAAGGTTTTGCCTTTTTAAGACGAAGAAAAAATGATTCTAAAAGCTGAAAATGAGAATTTTATATTTTCCGAATAGAATTTTTGATTGGGCATCGAAGGGTATATTTAGGGAATCCTTTTTAAAAAGAATTCACCCATTTCAAAAGTTTTCCCTAAGGGGGGGTTTAAAAAACGCAGGCGCATTGGTTTAACCCCAAAAACCATTCATTTCATTCCCAAAAACCAAGAGGTCCTACATTAAAAGCAGTCTTCTGTTTATCTTCCTCCTTCATTAGCGACCTGCCAGTACCCTGAGCGTAGATCTAACTTAGAAAAATACTTCGTATCCTGCAAGTGAATCAATGTTTCGTCAATCCGAGGAAGAGAATAAGCATCCTTAACAGTACGACTGTTTTTAATTTTCGATAGTCAATGCCAAAAACGTAATGAACCATCTTTCTTGCGAACTAAGACAAACATTTGAAGAGAAAGGGCTATGAGATTTCACGAATAGCTCCAGCTTCAACCATGCTCTTTAAATGTTCCCGTACTTCTTCAAAACATTACCTGGTGGAATACGTCTAATATGTGTCTTTAAAGGCGAGTCGGGTCAGTTAAGTTGATTTTCATGTTCAACAACATTCGAACAACCAAGATCAGTAAGTCCTGAGGAGAAAATGTGTTTCACTTGTCTAAGAAAGTTCTTGCTTCAGCTTGTTGATCTGATGTCAAAGTGTCTGTAGGAATACTTATTCCAAGATCTTCCAAAGATTTGTTCGAGTTATGGGACTTGTCAATTTCTCCTTCCGAAGGATTAATAGAACGTAAAACTGCAACTTCTTGAAGATTACAAAGTGAAGTTCTAGGATAGATGGTTACTGGTTTAGCTGTCAAGTTACATACTTTCACAGGAATCCTTGCAAATGAAGTGCCAGGTTTAACTTTGACTAACCTCGGGCAGATATTCAGCGAAACAACATCATTGTTTTCTGTAACACCAGATTCCATAACACCAAAATTCCTGACTTTGCCTGTGAGGATTCGTGTCTCAAATGCTTTTACAACAATAGGTTTCTGATGAAAACTTGTAACTGGTATGGTATGACCTGAGGCCAGAGAAGCCAAGGCATTGGAGATAGGAACAGACAAACCCTCAATACCTGAAGATTTCAAGAAATTCAAAATGTTTGTCCCTATTATCAATGGCACACTTACAGAATAACTAGTGTCTGGAACAATAAGTATTGGAAACAGGAACAGGGGTAAAATCTGAAACAGGAAAAGATATTTCCAGTAAAGAATAACCTAAATATGGTACTTTATTACCACCAGCTCCAGTAATTTCCAAACAAAAATCTTCCAAATTGTGCATAACCGGCTGTGGATTTAAAGATTTAAAACATGTTTCACTAAGAGTAGAAATCATGGAACCAGTATCTATCAAACCAGTTAAAGCTATACCATTGACAATAACCTGGGTT